AGCCGCCTAATGAAATTCATTAAATTAAATCAAAATTTATCAAAATTTATTAAATTTTAAACTAAATTTTGCTTAAATTTTTTGTTGTAATCAAAAAAAATTTTGAGCTTTTATAACTAAAATTTTACGGGTCCCTGATTGCTATAACCTATAATGTTAATACCCTAACCCTAACTTCAATATTTATGCACTTGGTTTATTTACAAAATTCAATTTTCTTTTTTTGGTTTGCATTACTCGTTTGCATATCCACTTTTTGAATCATCTTATATAAATATAATTTTTCTTTTGAAAAAAAGGCTTTTAATGGACATATTATTGTTTCACCATATCAAACGATATGAATTTGATCTAAATGATAGGCTCATTCGAAAACTTTATTAAACGTGCATTTGAAGATAACACAATTAGAAAATGGAATCCTACTCCAATTGGAGATAAACAAGATTCTATCATTGATGAATTATATTTAGAAATCAACAAATTATTGATGAAGATAGAAATATTCTTAATATAATTAGCAATTTCTTCGAGACGCATAGTAAATCAGCACACAATGTTCTCTATTAGTTATTATCACATCAAAGCAAGCCGAAATATGTTTGTATTTTAGAATTATTTTATTGTCATAAAATTGGAATAAAAAGAGTTAAAGAAAATATGTATGTTATTTTTAACTGCAGCAAAAGATAAAAACATTGTCAAAATTTTTTTGTTGAAAAATTTTATGAAGAGGGCTGGGACGTTAAAAAAAAATAGGACTAAAGCAATTGTAATGGTATAAGAAAGCCAAAGAATATGCAGCAGCAGAATATGCACTTGGATCTCTTTATTTTAAATAAGAGAAATATCATGATACATTTAAATGGTTCAAAAGTTAACTGGAAAAGGAAATACGGTGGCATTACATACTTTAGAATTATGTTATCAAATAGTTTTTGGAACAAATATTAACAATATTGAAGAATTTAATTCATTTCATTAGGCGGCGGAAATGGGACTATTAAACTTACAACATGAGCTCGCTCAATGTTACGAATATAGTAGAAGAACTCAAAAGATATAGATAAAGCGTTTGAATGGTATCAAAAAGCTAAAAACAAAAACTATAATTATGACAATGAGTTACAAAAAGTAAGGCATAAATTAAAAAAAAATTTTTTTGATTATTTATTACTACATCAAGATGACTATATTACTTCAATATAAGTAAAGAATTCGAGAATGATCTTAGGTACTATTTCATTATAAACTTATATAGTTTTATTGAATTTCCTTATGCTTACACTTGTATATAAACAACTTATACTAAGAATGTAGCATATGAATTGTTTGACCTTTTTTTTACCATTTAATGCATAAATAATATCGTAATTTGAAGCAAATAGTCACCTAGGTTTCTTAGATTCTTAGGCCTTGAAAATTGATTAGTATCCTCCCTAGAATTGATACTTTGCCATTTAATTTGACTATATTGAAAGCAAATAAATACTTCAACAAGTGGGGCACTGTTTGTGTAGATATAAGTACTTCAACAAGAGGGATACTATTTGCGTAGATTATGGTAAGTTTTACTTATTTTAACTAGATCATTTATGAGTTTACTTATTTATTACTAAAAGGTTTAATATTTATATATCATTTTACATCGTTCTCACTTACATTAATAATATTAGTAATATACATATTACGGATCAAGTTGGTTTTTAGGTCAAGTTAAATTTGACCTGGGTCAAATTGATCCCTAGCAGAATTTTAGGGTTAGGGCAAGCCGGAATTATGTTGATGCCGGCCGGGTTTTTTAATTGATCAATTTGACCTGGGTCAAGTTTAACTTGACCTAAAAACCAATTTGACCCGTAACATACATATTCCAAAACATTATGAATCACCAATTTATATGCGTAATGCATCTTACAATATTTTAATACAATATCATGAATATAATCATTAATAAGTTTTGTATACAATATCAGCATTATTAAATTTTGTATTCAATATCAGCATTATTAAATTTTGTATCAATATGTATAAGGTCCATAAATTTTGCACACTTGTCATTTTAGATGGTTATAAAATATAATTACGTTCGTATACTATAAGATAGCTGTGCGACGCATCGCTTAAATTCCGGTGTTACGAATAGTTGTATACTGCAAAAATCACATTTGGTAAATAAAACTATCATACTCATAATATATATGATATATGTATAAAAATAGTATAGTTGCAAATAATTTAATTATGTGTCTCAACAAATGTGTATGCCGTAATGAGTCAGTAACAAAAATGATTTTAAAAAAATTCAAGATTTTTATATGATTGTGCATACTGCCGGAATTGTACTATCATACTATACTGATTTTTACGAGATTGTACGGCTCTAACAAAAAACAAAACTTTTACGGAATTATATACGTATGTACGTTCATTGAATATTTTTTTATATTACTTAAGCTTATATTTAACGTTATCAAAAAATTTGCTTTATTCAATTAATCAGATTTATTTTCCATTATAACTACGCGTGTTTATCAAATTTCTTTCGAGAACAATTTTTTGAACAGCTAAAATCAAACATTTTAATTTAGATTACTTTTATTAAAATTGAAAGTCGCATTTTAACCTGAGTATTTGTATAGCCATCAATTAGAAACGATAAGTATAAAACAAACAAGTTTTACCTTGATTAAAATTAAAAGTCATAAGTTTAAATTTCACATATCTTTATTGAGGTTTCACGCTTCGCCAGGGTTTCAATGTTCCATCAGGATTTCGTCTTTCATATTAGGTTTTGTTGTTTACCATTTTTGGAAATAGCCTTCGCTTACTATCTATAGTGGCGCGTAGAAAGCTATGCTTCATATATTACATATAAGTTTTTTGAGAAAAGGAAATCTATCTTCTAATTATTATCAATATTAAAACTTTCATATTTTATCAGAAAAAAAAATCTCTTTATTGGTAATAAAGCTTTCATTAAAGGGATCATTTTTCTTCGAAAAATTTCTTTAAAAAAGCTATTAACAGATGTTTTAGATTCCTCGTCAGAACTAATATCATTCGAAGGTATCATCATTTTATTGAAAAGTAATCTATATTTTTTTTTACGGTTTATTGAATGACCTCATTGGTCGGGGTTTTCCCTTTATTATTAAAGTATTTGCAGTCCGTATTTCACAGAAGGGTTTACAGTAGTAGAGGTCTTTTTCGATTTTTAACAGCTGCCCTACCTTGTTTAGTGCGTCGAAAGTGCATCGGGGGTGCGTCGAGTGT